CGCTGTGCATCAGCAGCCTCCTTGACCAGGCGGTCATTCTCTAGTTGCAGCCGTTTGCTGCTCTTCTCCGCCTGGTCAAGCCGCTTGAGGGGCTCCTCGTGCTTCTTGAGCTCATCTTCAGCATTGTCCAAGGCCGCCTGGAGGTTGTCTATTTTTGTCTTCGACTCCTTGAGGGCATGTTGGAGGGACTTGACCTGATCCGCCTGTTGCATGATTATAGATTTAGTTTCTAAGTCATGCACAATCATCGAATAGTGGGCAACACTATGTGCGTCCTTCGCAGAACGTTTGGCTCTTCTTACCTCCTTCTGCTTGCGGATGTAGGCCTTCTTGAGCCCCTCCACGCGGAGCAGTGCCTACAACAACACAGCCGGTATTAGTAGAAAAACCGGATGAGTATACTACAAATTAAATGTCGGGTGGGTACTCATTGACTTACATCGGCCAGGTCGACCATCACACGGTCGGCATTGAAGGTATTGATTCCAGGAATCGCCTCCTTCTCGTCCCGGGGGACGGCTTTCAGCATGGCCCGGGCGTATTGAGAAGCGTCCGGCCAGCGTGGAGAATTATCTGCACCAGAAACAGACGGTGAGAAAGCTGCATATACTCCGCCTACGGACTGCCGGCTGATCGGAGAATCTCCCGGCTGCGACTGAGAATATGACTTAACCCGCATGGGTAGGTCAAGCAGCGTGAGGTTGAAGGGGTTTGTACCTTTTTGGGAAGCCCTCTGGCCCCCGGCTGAAGGTAGACATGTTGTGGTCCTTATTGGGGTGACCTCCTTCGAGGTCATTTCAGTGTTAGACCCGCCTGGGGTCTTTATTGATTTACCGCCGGTAGTAGCCCGGACGGTAGAAGCGGTTTTCTGCACCTTATGTGCAGGTTCTTCAACAGACGGCCGTTGCCGGATCTGTTTTTGCAAGGAGCGAGGGATAATGCCCCCATCCTGAAACAAGATCACAAACGGTCAGGTGAAGGAATGACCAAAATAGCATCAAGGCAAACAAATAAAGAAGGTCAGGCGGGCTAACCTTTTTAGCCGCCTGAGCGGCATGCTTTTTCTCCAGATTCTCCTTGCGGATATCTGAAGCTTTCTTGGCGGGTGTCTTGGCGGTGGGCAGCATGTTTTTTTTAGCTTCTTCTGCAAAACGCAAATACATCCGATCAAGATTATGATAATTTTGCATTGCAATCAAAAGAAAAAGGTTAGCCGGCATAAAATTAACCGGCTATGGTTCGTAACCTACGTCTTTCAAACATGCTGCTAAGTCCACAGGCGGACAAGAAGCACTTGTACCTAAAAAATTCGTGTTTGGGCACCCATTTCTTGGGTACCCTTATTATCTCTCCGGTTGAGAGAGAGGAAGAGGTCAGCTCAAAAAATCCGGAGTCCAAAATGGCCTCCTTATCATTATTAGGCACTGGGGGCAGCCGACACTTCTGCCCCAAAAGCTCTGGTTTCTGGTTGTAGGTCCGGTACTCCTTGTTCTCCTCCTCAATCGGAGCTTTAACCAGGTAGAACCGGTTCTTCCAGTCCGACCATTTAGACGGCTTATCCAGGGTCATCATATATTGAGGATGAGTCGTCAAGGTGTACCAGGCTCTCTAGCCGCCTGGGCTGCTGCTCAAATAATGCATATGGGCAAACGCCTCCTAGCCGGGGTTGAGATCCTGCTTCTCGCAGGCGGCGATGTACCCTAGAATGTTCACCCAAGAATTAGGGGAGAGTTGCCAAACGCCTAAGCCATATCCCCTAAGTATGGCCTTTATTGTGTTGTGAAGGGGGAAGCGGACACCGGCTAGGAAATCCGCCTCATAGCACCCAAACCAACTGTTAGCGTTGGGTTGGTCATCTTCCCCTTAGACCGTCCCGAACTCGCCCGGTACAGACAGCTTGTACCCTCCCCCAAGCGGTCGCTTGGTAATGAAGTCTGTTAGAGAAGACCGCATGAGGGCCCGGTACTTGAGAGAGACGGCGATCATGAGAGGGTCATTTCTGCTTTGCCACAAAGGCCTCTCCGCCTCCTCGCTATCTTCTGACATGGTCAAGTAGCTAGAGCTACTGCTTTCGATGCGACCGTCATCAGAGCCGGATGGGAAGTTGGGACCCTCATTGACAGATCCCGGCAGCTCAGCCACCTAAGCAGGAGAGGTCTCCTCGTTGTAGGAGCCTAAAATACTATCGCTTGGGGTGGCGGGAGTGCCGCCGGATGGTTCTCTAGCCGCCTCGTCCGGGGCTCGTTTCTCGGGCGACAACTCATTTGAGTCTCCGCCTCTGTAATTAGGGTCCATAGCTGTTCCCCTACTTCTGGCCATCGTGTCCTGCACAGACACGGAGTCGTTCGATACAGGCGTTGAAAAGGGGAAATTCCAAAGATCAGAGGCGGCAGATCCAGTTCTAGACTCATCCGTACTAATTGACCGGCTGATTTCACAACTAGTTTCCGGGTATGGGTATAAAGGGTCCATCTACCTATGGGACTGATAAACAAAAATGCAAGAAAAAGACGCAAACGGAAATACATGGTAAAGCGAGAAGGAATAGAGACGGTACCTAGAGTAGAAGAATTTGCTGAAACCTCAAGAAATTTCTTGGGCATGCTTGCAAAGACACAGACGGTTTGAAGACCGGCTGGTTTCTTTTGGGTACCCTCACAAAAAACCTTTGCTTGCTCGCTACCTTACAGGCGGCCTGAAAACCGGCTGCTCTAAATTATCAAATCTTCATCTGCTCTGAATTATCAAGTACCGGATGTTCTCAAATGTCGGATGCTCTCAAAATTCAAGAAAATTCACGAAGTTTGTAAATGAGCTCTCGTGAGCGTCTACCCCTATTTATAGGGGTTGCCTTAGAAGGCGAAGGGTCGTGACCCTTCCCCTTCTGCTTTTCCCTCTTCTTTCAGTTAGAATTTGAAGAGGTTTCAACAAAAAAAAAAAAAAAAAAAAAAAAAAAAAAAAAAAAAAAAAAAAAAATTTGCATACGTCAGCGTTCTTCTCAGGCGCCACGTGGCACCCTGCCACGTCAGCACCTGAGAGAGGCAAATGTTTGGGGTAAAAATACCCCAGCCACGTGGCCCTATGGCTGAGCGACACGTGACACCCAGCCATTGGTCAGCAGGGCTCCAATCCCCTGCTGATACGTGTCCCAGAAACCCTAAATGGGGAACCAAGTCTCCCTACTATAAATAGTGGGAGAATCCTCATTAATGGGGCACGATATACATTCATAAATACTTACACAAAACCCGAGCATTATTAAATGCGGAATTCTCTCATTACGCGAGAAGTAATTTCACTATTTTACGCACTATCTACCTCCTGTACGTAACTGACTTGATCGTCGGAGGCGGAGCTCCAACCAACCGGAGTCTTCGTGGTTTTGCAGGTACAGGCGGCGAAGGGCATTCTCGGAATTGTAACTCTCCCGCAGGACACATCAAAAAACCCCGAAACAGAGAGTATTTGTGATTAAGTTATTGAGATATCAACTTGAAGTTTAACCATATGAGAGTTAATCGATTTTTGTATTCATCGAAGAACTCTCGTATAAAATGCGAAATGTCTAAAGAAGAATAGTAATTAGATATATTACAGTAAGAATAATCTACTTATGGTCAAGAACCATGAGTAAAGTATATAGTAATTACTTATGTTATATTATTACTAATTCATATAAGCTTAGTTATTGATATCAAGATATCATGAGTTGCCATAAATTATTATCAATATATGATTATCAATAGCTACTTTTACGACCTCTAGAAGTAGGCATAATTTTGAAGGGAAGACAACTTAAAACAAAAATGCCATATAAGAAAGTGGTAAACGCAACATAGGTATTGCTCTCACAAGTATGGAGAAATAAAAATGATTCACATTGAAGATTTGAAGATTCAAGTTTGATCAGGGAGGATCAACTATCAAAGAATGTTATTCAGCTACAAGTGTGAAGTTACTAAGGCATTGGATTCATTACATTGAATGATCTCAAGTATGCATTTATCAGGAGGAGAAAATACGTGCTGCACTCTTTTTCCCTTAACCATGGTTTTGTCCCATATTGGGTTTTCCTGTAAAGCTTTTTAACGAGGCAGCATGTCAAGGCGTATTACGAAAGTGTTGTACTCTTTTTCCTTCACTAGTTTTTTATCCCATCGGGTTTTTCCTATTAAGATTTTAACGAGGCACACTATTCGATAATGGTCATCCAAGGGGGAGTGTTATATAATATATGTATTTGGTGGATAAAAAATTATACCCTTATGATTATTCTAGAATATTTTAGATATACTAGGTTTACTATTCTACAAGAAAACTCTAATTGTATATATATATATATTTACTCCTACATCATTCAGTAAGAAATATACAGATCTATTCTATTCTCTTTCTCTTTAATTTCATAACAGGTTGATAGTTTTTTTTTTTTTTTTTTTTTTTTTTTTTTTTTTTTTTTTTTTTTTTTTTTTAACGAAACCAGCTAGCTTTATTAACCTCAAGTAGAATAAAAAACAAAAGCAGAGGGATTTAGGGTAATTATTGTTGTTATAACAGTACGAGTAATTGGGGTACCATTTTATAAATTCAATCAAATACTTTGTATATCTTTAATTATACTATCTAAGGAAATATAAAAAATTCTTATATTTTAATAAGTAAATACTGAAATAGATCAAGATCCTTCATGACTGTATTTTTTCGTACTTACAATTTTCAAATGTTAATCAAATAACTTTAGAATTTATTAATAGTATCAAAATTTTAATTATATAACCAAATAGGTAATGGCAAATGAACATACTCCTTTGTTTTTTTAAAGTGTTAGGTATGTACAAGTTTTTTAAGTGTTACACTTCCCATTTTAGCAAAAAAACTAAAATTTATTATTATATCTCTTTCTCTCATGATTATCACCCAAACATTATTTCTCTTCTTATACATCTATTACTTTTCATTTACAATTTTTAACTCTACTTATTTCACTTACTTTTTATTATATTCAAATCAATTAAATTAGCTAAAATTATGCGTCGATCAGCATGTTATCTGTTTAGATTTTTTTTCTTCCTTTCATTTAAGTGCAAAGTGAATAATAATCATACAAACGTCAGCCCCACGGCCTCATACCCAGATCCAACCCAAACTCTTCACATTTCACCTTACCCAAGTTGAAGTTCCCCTCAAAAAGTCGCAACACACTACTTACCCAGAAAAGAGCAGACCATTTTAAAATCATCACTTTACCAAAGTTTATCTTCTTTCTTCAATTCTAGTTATTCTACTAGTACCACTATCTTCTACCCCAATCTTTCAATTCAACTGACAAAAAAGCATAAACAAAACCCATTTATCAAGCAATCCCCACAAAATAAATAAATAAAAACCCCAAAAATGGAAACCCCAAATCAAGAACAAGAAATAATCCAACCAAACCCAAATCACATGATGTTTTTGAGAATAATGAGCAAAAGACGAACATGGGTAGCTCTATTTGTCTTAGTTTATGGCATCCTTCTATACTCTTCTTCTAATCTGCTACAATCGATTCTTAATTGGTACAACACCACTCTCTCTCCTCCGCCATCTTCATCGCCGGCAAAAGGGTGGCCGGCGGCGGTGTATGCGTCGGTGATGCTCGGCGCAGTCTTCGGTGTGATGTCGATGGTTGCGGCGTTCGCGGTTGCGGTGCCGGCGATGCTAATGACTTGGATTACAATTCTTGTGCTGCTTACTTTCTGTGGTACGCGAAGGAGAGACTTAGTGGTAGAAGGGAAGAAATTAACGGCTGAGATTTCTGGGGTTGTGATTAAGATCTTGATCAAAGAAGGGAATTTTGTTGCTGCTTTTTGTGCTGTTTTGGGTTATTTTATGCTTGTTAAGAAAAGTTCAAATGAAGCTGATTGAAGTGAAAATATTGGTTTTTTATTTTTATTTTTTAAGGTTCGGAATGAGGTTTGAAATTAGGCAAGGTAATTTGTTAGAAAATGTTCTCATGTATAAGTTGATTGTTAAAATGCACATGTTACTTTCTCTGGAAAAATGTAATTGATACACTTTAATGTTGGAGTTGGACCATTTTGTATAACAATGGCTATCACTTTTGATTTGGATAATGAGGTGGGCAGGTGGGTGTTTATGAGGCTTGGACCGTTCGTGTGGTGATTAACTGTTTCTGGTTTAAGAGTTAAAATTTCGAATTATATTTAATTTTGTGCGTGTAATTGGAGACTTGTAGGAAGCTCATGTGTAAGTTGTAACATTATCTTTTGATACTGTATTTTAATTGTAATTTTAACCAATGAGGAACTCCTTTGTCAAATATGTTCCCTTTTGGACTTTTATTGAGCAGGTGTCATTATTTTTTTATTTTTTGTAAATTCTTAACAAAGGTTACACATAATTAACATGTAAAATGTATATCGTACTACTAAACATAAACACAATGACATGTTTGCGGGAGAGGTACGAGGAGTATTAAAGAGAGTCTCCTCATCATGGGGTCCCAACTTACCAAATAATTCAAATCTTCTATGGAGGCTTGCGCCCTCAAGGCAAGTCTTGTCTCGATGCGGGCGCCAGAGGCCCTATCATGAATCGAACGGAGGAAGAAGTTACATGGATTGACAAGATGGTGATAGGGAGTCAGAAGCAAGAGTAGCTCCTCAGTCTACTCCGTTGATTATCTAAATGTCATCAACAATTTGTCTTCACAAATATCAAGCCTAGGGAAAGAGATGTCTTCGATCAAAGCTTAGTTGGAGAGTTCTACCTCCCAAGTTCCAAATCTTCCTTCTCAATTTAAGGGGAAAGGTACATCTTCTAACTCTACTCCTCCTTCTTCCTCTAATAACATGCCTAGTGGATGCTTGTTTTATGATGTGTGTGGCTCATATGATCATGATGCTTCTAATTGCCCTTATGCTATTTTGGATGGATGTGATGATTTTGATAGTAATGAGAATGAGCTTGTGAACTATGTGCCTAACAATAATAGACCAAGGTTTGATAATCAAAGAGGCCAAGGGAATAGGAATTATCACAACCAAGGTAATTTTGACAACTATAACCAAGGTGGTGGTTATAGGAACTAAGGAAACCAAGGTTTCAGAGGTAACTATAACAACCAAGGTTATAGTAGCCAAAATCAAAACCAAGGTTATAATAACTAACCTTATGGTAATCATAACCAAAACTTTGGAAGTCACAACCAAGGTTATGGTAACCAAAACCAAGGTTTGGTAATCAAAATCAAAATAGGGGTAATTTGAACAACCAAAATAGGGGCAATTTTCAAAACAATGCTCAAAGAGGCCCTCCTCCTGGTTTTGTTCCAAAAACCCAAGCTCAAGGTGATAATTCTTATGCTCAACCCTCTTCTTCTTCTTCTAGATCTAATTTGGAGGAAATCATTGAAAATCAAACCAAATTGTTGAACACTTACATGGCGGTTAGTGATAAGAAATTCAATGAAATGGTGACCCACAATAAAATGCTTGAAAACCAAATCTCTCAACTTTCCAATGCCTTGAAAGACCAAGCAAGCCCTTCTTCTTCCCAAGGCCTAGACCCTAAGAGACCCGTCAATGCTATTGTTACAAGGAGTGGTAAGGTGCTTGAGGAGAGTTTGCCTAGGAAGAGTAAGGCTAAGGAGAGTTCTAAAGAGATTTTGGTTCAAGATGAAGGAGATGGTGCATCCTTGAGTGAGATAGTGGTTGAAAAACCATGTGAAGTGAAGGAAGAGAAAGAAGTTGTGAAACCCAAGCTTCCCTACCCCTAAAAATTCATGAGGCACAAATTGGATGAACAATTTGGGAGATTTATTGAGATGCTCAAACAACTACATCTTTCACTACCTTTCACTTATGTCATCAACCAAATGCCAAATTATGATAAGTTCCTTAAGGAAATTTTTGAGTGGAAGAGGAGTTGTGATGTAGTTGAGACGGTTAACTTAACCGAAAATTGTAGTGTATTCATCATAAACAAGATGCCACCTAAATTGAAAAACCTCGGAAACTTTTCTATCCCTTGTGCCATTCATAAGATGCAAATTGATAAAGTCTTATGTGACCAAGGAGCTAGTGTTAGCCTTATGCCATATTCGGTTTATCAAAGACTTGAGCTAGGGGAACTTTCATCTACCAACATCACCTTGCAATTAGCCGATCGCTCAATTAAGTTTCTAAAGGGTAAGGTAGAGGATGTTCCTTTGAGGGTAGGAAAGTTTGTGATTCCGGTTGATTTTGTGGTTTTTAAAATGGATGAAGATGCTAACATTCCCATCATACTTGGTAGACCTTTTCTTGCTACTTCGGGTGCTTTAATTGATGTAAAGAGTGCCAAGATTTCACTTAAAGTAGGAGATGAGGTTATTGAATTTGATTTGAATGAAAGCATGAAGTATCCATGTTCTTCCTTGGAAAATTTCATGATGATTGATTCTGTTGATGATTTTGTGATTTCTATGCATGAGTACTTGCTTGCCTCTAATGATGCTCTTGAGAATGTCTTGTTGAATAAGGGAAATATAGGTTTTCCAAGCAAAGAGATGGCATTGTATGAGGATATGCTAAATAGAAGAATTGAGGAACTTGATGAGCAAATTTTTATGAAGATCATTAGCCAAGAAGAATTTCAAGTGGCTACAACAAAGAAAGATAAAGGTGTTCCAATGGTAGAGCTCAAACCTCTACCATCACACCTTAGGTATGAACTCTTGGGTCCTAACTCGACTTACCCCGTGATTGTTAGCTCCTCCTTAAGTGAGAGCCAAGCTCAAGAGATATGTGGTGTGTTGAGAAAACACCAAGGCGCATTAGGCTATACCATTGATGACCTCAAGGGTATAAGCCTTGCCTTATGCATGCACCATATTACTCTTGAGGATGGCACCTCACCAAGCATTGTAAGACAACGAAAGCTACACCCTCAAATGGGGGAAGTAGTGAAGAAGGAAATCACTAAGCTATTAGATGCGGGAATCATTTTCCCCATCTCTAGCTCTAGGTGGGTTTCCCCGGTTCATGTTGTCCACAAGAAAGGAGGTATGACCGTTCTAAAGAATGAGAGAGGTGAGCTCATTCCTACAAGAACGGTGACGGGATGGCGGATGTGCATAGACTATAGACGTCTAAACACATCCACTAAATAGGAACATTTCCCACTTCCCTTCATAGATCAAATGCTTGAACGTCTAACGAGGCATAAGTATTATTGCTTTCTTGATGGCTACTCCGGGTTCTTTCAAATTCCCATTCACCAGGATGACCAAGGAAAAACAACTTTTACTTGCCCATATGGAACTTTTGCCTATAGGAGGATGCCATTTGGGCTTTGCAACGCCACCGCCTGTAGGGTTTCGTAGTGACCCGACACTACGTGGAAGGAAACCACCCAAGACCCGCCCCTTAATTAAAGAAATTAACAAGCATAATAAACATAATTAAGCAAGACTAAGAACAAGAATTATACCTTTGTTGCGTGCTTCGCTCCCGAAGAGATCTTACTTCAAAATCCCGAAACTACGAGATCTCCAACGGATCGTACCCTCGACGCGACCCGAGCGTCCCAAGTCTTGAAGATTAGTCAAGACCCGGACAAATAAAACTATCAGTTTTACGAATCAAAGGTTTACTCTAATTACAAGAGTTGCCTTTTTAATTCCACTCAAGGTTATGCATTTCCCAATACCCTTGAAAGGTATTTATAGGGAAATGGGTCCTTGGTTTTCAATCTCCCATCAATGTGGGAGAGTTGGTAAAATTAACAATTTATTTAATTCCAAATTAAAAAAATAATCAACTTAATCACATTGCGACAAGTGGAACAATCACATGCTAATGAGTGATGGCCAAGGCTAGGTGGGGGGACCATTTTCCTTGCTCCCCAAGGCCCTTGATTGGTCCCCACAAGCAAGCACAAAACCGGCATGTGGCTGCTAGGCTGGTAGCCAGCTAGCGTGCCAGCTAGCGCTGCCAGCTAGCACTGCCCAGCAGCATCCCAGCCAGTCAGTGCTTTCAAGTGATAGGGAGGTGTCAACTCTGAAAGAATACCATTTTCTTTCAAGTGATCGTCGAATTCATGGCTCAAATAGACATCGTTCGCAATTTTCAAACGACTCTAAGTCGAATGAGTCAAGAACACCTTATTGAAGAAGTTTCTTGATGTGTTTGATGTTAATATGGCCAAGATGACAATGCCACAGGTAGGTTTGATTCGACTCGATGGTCTTAGCCCTTTTGGCAGTATTATCAATGTTATAAACCTGTTTGTCTAGTGAAAGCACATAGAGACCATTTTCTGAATGTGCCTTACCATATAAAACATTATCAAAATAAATAAAACAACTATTGTTTTTGATTCGAAATTTGAATCCTTTGGCGTCCAACGCCGATATTGAAATAATTTTTTTGGTCACTCTTGGAACATGATAACAGTTTTCAAGTTCTAGAATAAGCCCTGAGGGCAAAGACAAACTGAGAGTTCCAACGGAGACGGCAGACATCCTTGCTCCATTGCCGACCCGAAGCTCGACCTCTCCCTTCTCTATCCTCCTATTTATCCTTAGTCCCTGAGCATTGGAACAAAGGTGTGAGCCACATCCGGTATCTAATACCCATGATGTTTTGCTAGCAAAGTTTAAGTCTATAACGAAAATACCTGATGAAGAAGCAACGTTGACGTTCTTCTTATCTTCCTTGAATTTGAGGCAGTCACGTTTCCAATGTCCCTTCTTCTTGCAGTAGAAACATTCGGAATCAAATTTAGAAGAGGCTTCCTTTTTGTCCTTGCTGCCCTTGCCAGATTTCGACTTAGGCGGGAACTTCTTCTTTTTCCCTTTAAAGATCTTCTTTTTGCCCGGACGTTTGAATGGCTTGCCCTTCCTCACCATGAGCATGTCATGCTTGCCCTCATCCTTAAGGGTTTGCTCGGCTTGCTTCAACATACCATGAAGCTCGGTGAGGGTTTTCTCCATACTATGCATATTATAGTTCATTTTGAACTAATCATAGCCTTTGTGAAGTGAGTGGAGAATGATGTCAATTGCTATCTCGGTTGAATACCCAGCATCAAGCCTTTCCATGTTCTTAAATAATCCAATCATTTTGAGGACATGCGGGCTGACTGGCTCTCCTTTCTTAAGCTTGCTCCCAAGGATCTGCCTGTGGGTTTCGAACCTTTCAGTTCGGGCCTGCTCTTGAAACATATTCTGAAGCTCAGAAATGATCTCTAAAGTCGTCTCCTTTTCAAAGAAAGTCTTTTGAAGGTCCGGAGACATAGTGGCCAACATGATGTATTTGACATCCCAATTGGCACTTTGCCATCAGTTAAGGGCAGCCTGAGTGACCTCCTCTTTGGGAGCGTCGGGCATTTCCTCATCAAGGATGTATTCGTTTTGCTCTGGCATTAGTACAATGCGCAGATTTCTTTGCCAATCAAGAAAGTTTGGCCCGCTCAACTTCTCCTTGTCGAGAATTGAGCGTAAAGAGAATTGGTTGTTGTTTGAGTTACTTGCAGACATGGTTCTACAATTGAAAGAATTTGAAGTGAATAACCATTCATAAATTAATAAGTTGAAATTTAAAAAACGTTCATGCATATTTTCAATCTTATTGAGCATTTTATCCACGCTTTTTAAAATTGTCTCTTTTAGGCGAGAATAAAATGATTCCGAGATCCCAAAGATCAAGAAATGGTTAAGCATGCTTTGGCTTGTCTTTATCATTAAATATCTTAAGGTAAGCAATCTAATTTCTAATCGCTCCAAGCTACTCTCGGTTTGATAAAATGTCGCATCTAATGCATCCTTGACATTTTATCTCTTTTGCCACGACATCTAAGGACTCCTTACTGATATCGTTGAGCTTAACCAAGACAACTTTTTCCTAGGGAAGTAGTGATGGCTCGATTTGGCGTAGTCCATCACGTACGCGCATTAGTTCGGTAAGTGTTGTTCTTGGAACGACAAAGTTTAGCTCAATATTATTAAGGGACCTAGGGTTTCTATGTTGGTTGATTTAAGTGAACTTAACTAATTGTCGCAACATGTAGAAATCCTAGACATGCATCTAACATTCATATATAACAACAATATATAAAGCATAAAAATAGATGCATTTGGCAACTAACATGACCCCTTGAAATCTTCAATTTCCATGGGTCTTCATCTTGGCTCATCTTCATCAAAACGCCGTCTTGAGACATCTTGGCTAAAATAAATAAACTAGCTAGAACGACTAAGATTAATCTAAAGTACAAAAATACTTAACGGTTCGCAGACCGTATTTAGATTTACAAAAATACATAACGGAACGCACTCCGTATTTTCTATCCTAGTCGGGCCCCACTAGTTGCCATTTTCAATAACCTGTTTTGAAAACAATCTTCCATTCACCCATTCACTATTTGTGAATGGCCCATGCAATTTTACGAAATACATAATTAAACACGCAAAACTAGTAACTAACTTAGGTGGTTAATCCGATTAACGCGCCCAATTAAAACTAGTCAAAGTTGTTTAATCCATTATTTCTAAAAGCAAAATGCTCACGTAATTAATTAAGCTCCCACTAAATTCCGCATCCATACTTAATTAATCCGATTAATTAAGTCGGCATAACCCATTATTTGTCAAAATTTTGCAAAACCGAAAAATTGAGGTTTTAACCTCGTTAAAATAATTTCTTAAAATTATTAAAATTGGAAAAATTGCAAAATCATAGCTCAACATTAAGCAAAATGTCCCACTAAAACCCTTAGTGGGTGCGCACCATGGCTGCTAGGCAGCCCATGGCCCTGCGCCATGGTGCGTTGTGCTGCTCTGCTGTGCCCAGCAAGCCACGCTGCTTAGCATCAGCATGCTGCGCATGCTTGCTAGCGTGCTGGTGCCTTCCAGCATATGGTGCGCTGGGCTAGCTCCTGCTAGCATGCTGCCAGCCAGCATCCACAGGCAGCCCTTGCCCAGCCACAACCCCACGCAATGCTGCGCCCAGCAACCTCCCTGTCACACAGCCATACGCATCGATGCATGGCCCTTGCGTGCACCATGGGCAGCCCGACTAGCCTTGGTGACGCTTGCGGTTTTGCATCGATTTGCGTGCATTTCACTCGGAATTTTAATTCCGATTTGTGTGTGACAAAAATTAATTCTAAATTACATTTTAGAATTAATTTGAGGATAAAATAAAATAAAATAAAATAAGACTTAAATAAAATTAATTTTATTGATGCACAAGCCTAAATTATCCAAAAAATTTATTTTTGAACAAAATTAGGTCTTTCTTTATGCTTAAAATTAAATGAGCTATGTCCATAATTAATTTTGCCAATATGCAAATTAATAATGGATTTGACAAATGGGAGTTGGAAAAATAAACTAATCATCTAATGATAAAATTTTCCAACTTTCATACTTGTGTAAAATACCAAGATTTCATCTTCCAATATGAAGATTAATCAAATTTTACTAACAAGTATTTGAACTTGATGGATTTTAATCAACCAAACATGAAAAATCCAAACTTTGTTCAATATGGAATTTAGGGTTAGGGTTCCAATCATTTAAACCTTTAAAGTTTATAACTTTAACAATATGGGAACTTAAAATTACAAGTTCACAACAAGCTTTCACAATTTATTGCAATTTATTTGCAAAATTTGTGAAAAAATAAGTTTATGTGAAAAAAAAAGTATATCAACTTAAGCACTAATAAAAACTCCATTATTATGCTTAAGGATATTTTTAAAACAGTAGATTAGTGATGCAAATGTGCATTTAATCTAACCTTGTAATGCTTGCATTAATCAAGGCTTAAAAAGAATTAAAATTTTCGTTGAAAAACGAAAAACCCTAGAAAAATATGGGTTTCTGGTTTGAATTTAGCGTCTGGAAAGATCTTGAAAAGGGTTGAAACTGTTTCAGAAGGTCGATTCCACCCAAAATTCACTATTTTTGAGCCAAAATCTAGGTTCGACAGCCAAATCGAGAATAAAACCGAGTTTGAAAAATTAATTAAAACGAGCTTCTAATCTAATTAGATGAACATGAACCAGAAAAATAAACTCTTTTAAAACACCTTAATTAATAAGTAATTGCAAAAATTAAAAGGAGCATGGCTCCGATACCGCTGTAGGGTTTCGTAGTGACCCGATACTACGCGGAAGGAAATCCCCTAAGACCCGCCCCTTAATTAAAGCAATTAACAAGCATTATAAACATAATTAAGCAAGACTAAGAACAAGAATTATACCTTTGTTGCGTGCTTCGCTCCCGAAGAGCTCTTACTTCAAAATCCGGAAACTACGAGATCTCCGACGGATCGTAACCTCGACCCGACCCGAGCGTCCCAAGTCTTGAAGGTTAGTCAAGACCCGGACAAATAAAACTATGAGTTTTACGAATCAAAGGTTTACTCTTATTACAAGAGTTGCCTTTTTAATTCCACTCAAGGTTATGCATTTCCCAATACCCTTAAAAGGTATTTATAGGGAAATGGGTCCTTGGTTTTCAATCTCCCATCAATGTGGGAGAGTTGGTAAAATCAACAATTTATTTAATTCCAAATTAAATAAATAATCAACTTAATCACATTGCGACAAGTGGCACAATCACATGCTAATGAGTGATGGCCAAGGCTAGGTGGGGGGACCATTTACCTTGCTCCCCAAGGTCCTTGATTGGTCCCCACAAGCAAGCACAAAACCGGCATGTGGCTGCTGGGCTGGCAGCCAGCTAGCGTGCCAGCTAGCGCTGCCAGCTAGCACTGCCCAGCAGCATCCCAACAGCTCACGCACTGGCTGGCAGTGCATATCCCACGTATAGCACGCACTAGCCTCGCATAGCACGCACCAGCCTCGCACCCCACGCACTAGCCTCGCACCCCATGCACCAGCCTCACACCCCACGCACCAGCCTCGCACCCACACACATGCGCCACACGCATTGCTAGCCCAGGAAGTGCACCTACGCACGGAAGGGCCTAGCATGCGTGCTGGGCGATGCTGCCAGGCACCCTCGCACTAGCACACCCACGCCAGTGCCTAGCACTGCTATGCTTAGTGCGAGGCACGCACATACACTCATGCACATGCGCCAGTGCCTAGCACTGCGATGACTGTGCTTAGTGCGTGTGTGGCCCTGCCATGCGCACCCAGGCATCTAGGCAAGCACGCTTCTGTGTTGTGATGGGCTGCCTGGTGCTCCTGGTGTGCCTGGTGCGCCTAGTGCTTGCGATGGGCTGCTTGGTGCGCCTAGTGCTTGCGATGGTCAGCGATAGTGCCCAGACATCTTGCTAGGGCTTTGATAGCGCCTAGGCATGATGCTAGGGCTGCGATGGTGCCCAGCCATCCTAGGGCACGCATGGTGCGCCTAGGCATGGTGGTAGGCCCAGTCTAGCCTAGCAACCCACATGGCTAGGCTAGTGTGGTGCTAGGGCTATGTTCATACTTGTCGCTTTGTGATTTTGCGACGCTCGGTCTCGACGCCCTAGGCTCGATATCCGACGTCTGTATTTGTAAAACTCTGTCAACTCATTAAATCCTTTCAGATTAATTCGTCATCTCGGATCAGTGATTCGATTAGGTTCGACCCGAAGGGTTCAGTTAAGATTAAGTTATGATATCAATTGTACCTTGATATTACTGATCGGAAGCGGCCCCCACCTAGGCATTCCGATCACTTGATCTTACTGAAGAATTAACTCTGTAATAATTCTGAACCCTCTATCGGAAGAATACACTTGTTGGAAGGACACCATTCCTTTCACTGCCACCTTCCAACGGTGTATGATGTGCATATTTGGGTACATGTTGGAGGAGGAGATGAAGGTGTTTATGGATGACTTCTCAGTGGGTGGTACTACCTTTGAGGATTGTCTTGCAAACCTTGGAAGATGTTTGTCTCGTTGTGAAAAGGTGAACTTGGTTTTGAATTGGGAGAAATGTCATTTCATGGTTGAGGAAGGAATATTCCTTGGCCACAACATCTCTCACAAGGTTATTGAGGTAGATAAAGCAAAGATTGAAGTCATTTAAAAGCTACCACCTCCGGTCAATGTGAAGAGCGTGAGGTCTTTCTTGGGGCATGCGGGGTTTTATAGGAGGTTCATAAAGGATTTTTCTCTCATAGCAAAGCCCCTCAATGATCTTCTCTAAAAAGACACCGGGTTCATTTTTGATGATAGATGCTTGGAAGCCTATAACAAATTGAAGAGTGCTTTGATCTCTACCCCCATTGTCCAAGCTCCAAGATGGGAGTTGCCATTTGAGTTAATGTGCGATGTAAGTTCCACGACAATCGGAGGTGTCTTAGGTCAAAGGGTGATAAGAAGCTTCATGTCGTCTACTACATGTCCAAGACTTTGAGTGGTGCCCAACAAAACTACACCACCACGGAGAAAGAATTCTTGGCTATTGTTCATGCATTTGAGAAGTTCCGGAATTATTTGATTGGTTCTAAAACCATTTTTTATATCGATCATGCGGCTTTCAAATATCTTATGGCCAAGAAGGAATCAAAACCAAGACTTATTTGCTAGGTACTTGAGCATCAAACTTTCGACGTTAAGATTAGGGATAAAAAGGGAGCGGAAAATGTAGTAGCGGATCATCTTTCTCGGCTTGAAGATTTCCAAATTCATGATGATGGGTCTCTTATTGATGATATGATGCTTGATAACTCCTTGTATGCCATAGATGTGAAGAAGCTCCCTTGATTCGCCGATTTGGTGAACTATCTTTCATGTGGAGAGTTCCCTCCTTTCTTCAAGAATCAATAAAAGAAGCTCAAATGGGAGTCTAGGCACTATTTGTGGGATGACCCTATTATATACAAGCGTGGAGTCGATGATTTGCTTCGTCGGTGTGTCCCAAATGAGAAGGTTCCTAGTGTTTTGAAGATGCGCCACACCGATCCTAGTGGTGGGCATATGGGAGTTTCAAAGACCGCCTCTAAGATCCTTCAATGTGGTTTATGGTGGCCACACCTCTTCAAGGATACTTGGGGTTTTGTGAAGACTTGTGATCGCTGCCAACAATCCGGAAATATCTCAAAGAGGAATGAAATGCCCCAACAACCTATTCTTAAACTAGCGGTGTTTGATGTGTAGGGCATCGATTTCATGGGACCATTCCCTTCTTCTTATGGAAACCAATACATGTGGCGGTTGATTATGTCTCAAAATGGGTTGAAGCCATAACCTCCCCAACCAATGATCACAAGGTGGTATTGAAGTTGTTCAAGAAAATCATATTCCCGAGGTTTGGAGTTCCAAGGGCGGTGATTAGTGATAATGGGTCACACTTTGTGCACAAAGCTTTCCGAAAGATGTTGAGGAAACATAGGGTGCATCAACGATTCGGTCTTCCCTATCATCCACAAACTAGTGGACAAGTTAAGGTATCTAATCGTCAAATCAAGTTGATACTTGAAAAGACGGTTATAAGGAATAGGAAAGATTGGTGGAGAATTTAGATGATGCTCTTTAGGCCTATCGAACGGCTTTCAAGACCCCAATAAGTACTACCCCGTATCGCCTCCTCTATGGAAAATCATGTCATCTCCCGGTGGAACTTGAGCACCGTGCTCTTTGGGCGATCAAGAAAATCAACTTTGATTTAGCAAGTGCGGGGGAGCAATGGTGGTTATATCTTCATGAGCTAGAGGAGCTTAGGCTTGATGCATATGATTGTGCTAGCATCTACAAGGCCCGTTCTAAGGAAGTACATGATAAGCTCATTGAGAAGAAAGATTTTTGTGTTGGTGACAAGGTCCTCCTCTACAATTTTAACATGAAGTTGTTCCCCAGAAAACTTATGTTTAGGTGGAGTGGTACGTTCTTGGTTCAAAAAGTTTTCCCTAATGGAGTGATTGAAATATCTGCGTTGGATTCCTCTTCCTCATTCAAAGTCAATGGCTATAGACTTAAACGCTATTATGATGGTGTTTTCGTTGGCCTCGTTTATAAGATGATTCTCTACAACCCACCTTGATAGGTGGAGAACGTCAAGCTAATGACGTTAAAAGAGCGCTTCCCGAGAGGCAACCCGTATTTCTAACCTTTTTCTTCAATTTTCTTTATTTTATTTTTCATTATTTTGGCATTTTACCATGATTAATGGTTTCTTATGATTTTTGTAGGGTGAATTTTGGAGTTATAAGGTGTTGGTGACGATTGAAATTGGTTAAAAATAGCGAAAATTGGCTAAGTTGCAAAATTGGAAGTTTGGGCAAGCAACTTGGGCATATGCGAACTTGCCCAAGTTTCAATTTTTGAAGAGTGAATCTGTACCGGGCATACTTTTTCTACTCATCCAAGAAACCCCTCATGCCCGAGCAGCCCCTCGCACCATGCATCGAGCAGCAGCAACATCTTGCAACTGCCGTGGCACAGGAAAGCCAACGCGGTGCGGCAGCCACTGCCATGGTGCGGCGCATCTACCGTAGCACGGCAGGCACTGCTGTTGTGCGGTGGTTGTTGCCGTGGCGCGGCAGCCAGCTCCGTGTCGCGACAAGGCCAGCGTGGCGTGACGTTTTCTTGCGCGAGCCAAATGCTTGGTCGGCCGAACTGCTCGCTTTGCCCGAGCATACCTGACGACATATTAGACCTGCTTGCCCGAGTTTCCGCTCCATTTTCGCAACCTGTAGCTGTTGTTTTTTTGCCTTTTTCGCACATTTTCTCTCTCTAACTATCACCTCTTCACTCCAAATCTCAATTTAATTGTTTTCATTTTGATATATCTTTAATACATCATCATTTAACATCATTTTTATCATTATTAACAACAAATTTCACTCTATTTTTTCATAAATTAGCAAATTTTTCATACCTTTGGAAAATTAGGGGTTTTTTATTTTGGTGAAAATCTTGTTCAAGACTTGCATTTGGGGACTTTCTATCTACTCTAGTTGCATTTTTAAGGTTCTATTTCTTGATTAAGGTATGATTTCTTAACTCTATTTGAATTTTTCATGATTTTACCTTACTACTTAGATACCTAGTTTTTGCAATTTTGAGAATACTTTATTTGTGACTTCCCTTTGCTTAGTTATTGATAATATTGAAGTTTGATGATGATTTTATATGATTTTCATATTGAATTTGGATTATTGCTTGATTTTCATGAATTCACCATTGTCATATATTCTTGTTCTTCATGAAAGATGTTGCTTATGACTATATTCACTAGCATGCTTGTTGTTGTTATAATTGGTATTATTTTGTTGATTAAGCATACTATGATTGTTCATTTGCAAATTTCTTTCAAGTTTAGTTAAGCTCCACCTATCTCTACTCGCCAACAACAACAACATCATGATATCCCCTCATCCCATGAGGGTGGTGATCTTTCTTCTTTTACCCCTTTATACCTACATTGCATGATAATGTTCCATCGTCTTTTGATTTCACAACTCTAAAATCCCAATTGGACTCGATTACTAGAGGACAAGAAGTTGCCTCTAGCAACCAAGCCCTTTTGGAAAGTCATGCCTGTTGTGATAATCAAATTTATACCATGCATGTTCAACGAGGGGACATTGAACCATATGTCAACTACCCCTACTTCCTGGTTCAACAAGGTCCCGTGCCTCAATGGGGACCTTGGAACCCTAATGAGTGCCGTCGTCTCTCATACCCTTAATAGGAAGGTGCCAACATCCCACCTCATGCCCGAGTAGGGACCACCCCGGAGACTTATGATATAAGCGCCCCGGGAGTTGTGATTACAGTTATGATCCTGGGAACCCGGCTCCTTTTCCTAACCCCGAAACTTTTGGGGGATGGGGTCTTTCAAGTCCCCCGGAATATAGCGATTGGTCTCATTACTTTGAGACGGACTAGGCGGCCAAGCTTGCTAGGGAGCGGGCTCAAAAGGAACAAGAGGATCGGATGGTTAATGAATTTTTTAATGTGGGAGGAGTTGTCACTCCCCACATAGCTGATCTTGATTTATTCCTTGTCCATTCTCCCCGTCCTTATGTTTTACTTCTTTCTTTTCTTCCTAGGGACATTATTAGGCAAGCTTTGGGGAGAAATCTTGGCATATGGTAGTTTATGGGAGGTTTGTTTTTGTTGTTGATGCTTGGCTTGAGTTCTTGTGACGATGAGTCTTGAGTTTTGAGCTTTTGATGATATCCTTTGGTGATGTTAGTGATGATAATATGATGGTAAGATGGTGTTTCTTTGTTTGTGTCTTGATGATTCATTTTTGAAAGTGATAGGTTGATGATGATGGTGTCACTTTAGGCCTTTGTTTGTCCTTTCGCCTTATAATCCGAACTTTGTATATATGTTTTTTTTTTTCTTTCTTTGCTTGTCTTGAAGTTACTAACTTCCTTTTGTGTAGAGTTTGTTTTCTTTTCTCATCTTGTAGGTCCTTTATTAAGAGCATTTGTCACATGGGAAATCAGTGAGACCTTCCTTATTGCACTTGTTCTTTAGCTTAGGATTGCTCGGTGAGATCTTTCCATTATCTTTTTCTCTTTTCTCCTTTTATTTTCTTGTGTGCATAGTTTAGGTTTTAGCTTAGGTTGGAGTTGAAAGGTTCGAGGATATGCTTTTAACATCTAGTGTGTTTGGGATCGTTGACATTGTGGTCGAATGATCATTGTTTGTCGATTGGGATTTCATTGTTTATGCTTACTTCCTTTTAGCTTTTCATTTCATTCTTTGTTTCTCCTTTTTCTTTTAAGCAACCTCATTCAAGGCAATTTTTGCAAAATGTGTTTTTCTATCTCTCTTTGGTTGGACAATTCATATTGGTCTTGTGTTTTTGAATGATTTCTTCTTAGTGGTACATGTGCGCATGATTTGAGAGTGTTGGTGGTTGATTTTAGGATAGTTCATGCTAAGGTAGCGGTGTAAGAACTTTAGGGTCCATGAAGCCTTAGTTCATTGAAAGTGGTAAGATGGTGATGCTTTTCATAGTGGATTTGATATCTTTGAGTTAGTATTTGCTACACAAATCTTGTGTGAGGTATATTGTTCAATCCTTCATCATCTTTGTTGAGCGGTGCTGTGTATCCTTGGTTATGAATGTTTTTATCTTGGTTTGTCTACTAGCTCCCGAGATCAAGACCGAGCCACTTTAGGGGAAGAAAAAGGCTCTTTTCATTTTCTTTTGTGTTCCTTTTATTTAGTTACTTTGTTGTTGTCTTTTACATTCACCCTCTTGCTACCCCTTTGAGCTTATTTCCATTTATTCGGTTACTAGAAACAATACAAGCCTAATGACCTTTACCATTAGTTTTGAAGCTAAATGTGGTTGGATGCTTGTTTTGCCAATCATGTGGAGTTATGGTAAATTGTGTTCAAGGTATATGGCAAGTTTGTGATATGAGATCTTCACGGGTTCATATGTGCAAGAAGAACAAGAATAGTAATGTAAAAGGGTGCAAAAAGAATGACATGTGAGTGTTATGAAAAAATAAAAGAAAAAAAATAAGCTAAAAAAAAATTAAAAAAATTAAAAATAAAAAAAAGTAAAAGTGAAAAAGAGAAAAGAGCAAATAAAGTTCAATAGTGTGACATGTCATGTATTGAACCAATGATATCTTAGTTATGATCGTTTCCCTAGTTTAAGCATTAAGGACAATGCTTTGTTTAAGCTTGGGGGAGCGTTCCTACGCTTTTATGAGTAAAAGTATGGTGTGTTTGTTGAATAAGCTTGGGGAAATGGAATTTTTGTTTGAAAATTGGTGAATTCTTAAGTTTGTTTTTGAGAGATGGCCACTCTTTTGCTTCACTTATGAAATACCACCAAATTTTCAAATTTTTACCCCACCTATACCCTAACCCATGACATTACAACCTAACAAAGTCCTTTAGACCTTAGAGGGTTGTGTCTACATTGGTGGAGGGAGATGGTTTTCAAGCCTATGGAGAGAAAAAATGCATAGCCGAGACGTCGGGTTTACCTTCTCATGTTTTCATTTCCTGATATTTTTCCGGTTCCTTCGAGGAATCATGAGGAGCCAACTTGAGGGTTGATTTGAAGCTAGTGGAAAGAACGCGGTAAGACTAGTGGGGACAAGGTTGGATTGAGTCTCCTAGAGTTCTCTATGCTTAGCATGTTCTATGTTTCAATCAACCATTGACATCTTATAGCATGCATACATATATTGTTTAAGAAGTCTCTCATTCATTGTCATTTGCATTCTCTACTTTTGTCCAACTCAAGAGCTCTTTGTGTTTTGATTTCTTGATTTTTGATTGCTTTGCCTTGACTTTGATTGCTAGAGTTATGGGTTAAACTCTTTGGAAACCCTTACGAGATCATCACTCGTCCTCTAGGGCGATCTAGGGGTTTAAATGGCTTGTCACTAGCTAAAAGGTGACCGTGATTTCTACGTAAGTGAGTTAGTGTACATTCCTCTTCCCTTTTCTTTCTTTTCTTTATTTGAATAAGCTATCGTATGAGTGTCATTCCCTGTCTTTTTCCTTTTTTCTTGTTTTTGTTTTGCTCGAGGACGAGCAAAAGTCTAGCTTAGGGGAATTTGATGAGTGTCATTTAAAGCACTCATAGGATAGTTTTATTCGTAGTTTTATGCTCAATTTTAGCTTTTTATATCAAATTTTTAGGTAATAATGCTTGCTTCACGTGCTTGAGTGTTAATCTAGAGAAATGCATGTTTTTATCGGCTTTATTACCCTTTTTATGCATTCCCTTGCTTTTCTCTTGCTTTCCGTTTAGTTTGATTTGTTTTGTAGGTATGTCGGGATTTTCCGAGGTTCAAATGTCAAGGAGGAAGCCCAACACAAGCTTTGGAAGTCAACCAAACCAAGTTCGGGAAGTTATAGAGCAACCAAACCAAGTTAGAAGTCAATTCAAGGTTGCTTGGGCAAACCGCTTGGGCCAAGATTGCATGCCCAGGCATTGGAGAAGAAGTTTTGAAGCTGTCTTGGGCATACAAAGTTCCTCGGGCAAGCGTCCCATGTATGCCCAAGCAAGCAACCATCCGAGTCTCCCTCGCGCGCATGCAGCAGCTTGGG